CGCCCAGGGGCTGGGTGGGCTGAGTGGGTGCGGGTGGGCATGAACTGCAGCGGCGCAGCCGAGGCCACCCGAGCCGAGGCCGGTGCGTGGCCACCCGTTGCCGGGTGTTTCGTCACCCGAATTGCCACGAGGCTTTCTTTGGAGGAGGGACTCGCGGAGGAGAGGGGTGGGTAAGGTCCCCAAGTCGGTTCGGAACAGTTGTAGCACGTTCCGCTAGTTACTTGAACTTCAGGGACGACCCCCAACTTGATTCGCCCCCGCCCCTGTACTAAAAAGAGAAACTGTAGTTTTGAGTAGTAATTTGCCAGCACAGACACTCCATTTCTTTCCATCACTTCTTTTAGCCTTTATAGTGGATAAGCATGTAAACGGGGCGGGGGTGGGGGAGAATCTGAGTACTTTCTGAAAGTACTGATTAGCTGTTAGTGGGGAAAGTTGCGTATTATTAAAGCGACTTGGCATCATGATGCTAAAAGACTGGGAAACTCAGTACTCTTCTTTGAACTTCAGTAGGTGGGAAGGAATTTTTCCAAATTGTCGATTCTGAGTGGCTAAGGGGGTGGGGTTTAAAGCTTGATATTTAAATATGTTGCCTTCCCTCGGACAGTTGCTAGTTTTAATGAAAGTGTTTACCCATTTCTGTTACTTAAACAGTAACAACTGTTGAAGCTTGCATGCCTGAATCGTGTTGGACTATTGTATGTTTGTGCACAATCTTTTTACTGAAAAGGTTGTTACCTTTTATTCCCAGCTTGAAACTTGTTTGTAGACACATAAGTAATTTACCTTGTTCTGTTGTATGTTGATTATCTGTGCACCTCTATGGGGGATTCTTTCTGTTCTGACACAACTGTAAGTAATTGATATTTCCTCTTGTGGTTTAAGTTTTGACGAAGGTTAAGCAATTTCCCCCAAAGTTATGGAAGTTAAGGCAAGTTCAAGAAAGCATCACAGGATGTCTGGGATTCGTGGACACCCTTAGGTTGTCTTGTGTATGTACCTTTTTCTGGGGAGTTTTGCTGATCCTCTGTGGTTGAAGCACTATTTTATATCTGTTCAAAATGCTGATTTACAAGTGTGTTTTAATGATAAACCCAGAATGCTCTTTTGGGGGAAGAGAACCTAGATCTGAAGTATAACTAACCTTTTGAGAGTCCACTGTGTGCCAGCCATGCTTTACATGCCTGATCTCACTAAAATATTTACAACTTTCTGAGACACATGGTCTTTGCCTTATTTCCTAGAAAGAGCTCTTAGGTTGTCCATGTAGTCAAAGTTTTAGGGATTTAAATAAAGGCCTTTGGAAATCCAAAACATGCTCCTATTCCCTGCAGACTTTAGTGGTGAATATTCAAGACAATCCTTGTCCTTTGGTTAATGAGAAAGAACTGAAAAAAACAGACTGACAACACAGCTTTATTTAGGAGGAGCATCTAATTCTGCTTGGGAGTGATGGACGGTGTCAAATAAATGCTCTTGAAATTGATGATTTCTAAGCTGAATTGGGTGAATCAGAGGGAGAGCAGTGTATGCTGAGATACAAGGCAGAATGTCACTGATAATAATGCCCATGATCCCGTCACCGCTCTTGCTGAGTTAGGCTGCAAAATGGTCCTTTCAGAGTTGTTAAAGGCTTAATCCTGAGGCTATTGGGAACTACACTCCCTTGCTTTTCCAAATATAACGCTGGAAGAAGTGACTGAGCTTCCAGCTCAAAGGCTCAACGCCTAAATCCTGATTTATTCAGGCAAGCCTTGGAGAGACAAAAAATACTGAAGTACAGGGTTCAGATGGCCTGCATCTGGCCCTGACGTCATCATTCTTAGAAAGCCGTTTAGTCCCCAGTCTTCTTTTTGGTTATATTATTTGTGTAGAGTAAAAAGAAGTCCTATAGTTTTAAAATAAGATCTAATTTTTGTAATTCACAGGTACTTAGAGAATAGAATTTTTTCATCATTTAGTTACAAGTTTACTAAAATAAATATAGATTCTATCAAAAAGTACATTGCATATTGGAGCTCATGTGTTTATTTGAGAAGGTTAGACCCTTGTGAAAAATCTGAAGTCGTTTTTTAATTTTTTTTTTTTAAGATACCTGTGTCTGGATGATTGATTCTACCACTGGTTAGTCAGTTTGACATGCTTTGGTGATGTGTGTGATGCCGGAAGCTGTGCCACTGGACTTTCAGTTATGAGCAGGAGCTTCCAGACTAAGACTGACTAGGAAGAAAAAGCTAATGACCTGCTTCTAAAAATTAACTAGTGAAAGCCCTTTGGAGCATAACAGAATATTGTCCACTATGTGCTGAAAGATGAGCCCCTAGGTTGGAAGGCAACAGTGGTGATTATGAGGGTGTTGGTGATTGTGAGGATAGTTTGGGACCTGGTATCACCATAAATCAGAGTTGACTCTAGCAACTAGCAGTGCCAAGGATAAGTGATTACCATGTCTGTTCTTGAAAGCCCTAGAACGTCATTCTGTTACAGCTAGCATTTTCCCAGAGACTAAAACACAAATATTAAAAAAAAAACAATCCAAACTTTTATGTGGGATTAGTCATTATCATATACCCATTTTTGTCTACTATTTAAAAGCGTTCTTAGAAATACACAAGAATTGGCTAACAAGAATCAAAACCAAACCCACTGCCATCAAGTCAATTCCAACTCCTCGCAACCCTGTAGGATGAAGTAAAGCTTCTTAGTGTTTCCAAGACTAAATCTCTGCGGGAGCACACATCTTTCCTCTTTCTCCTGAGAAGCAACTGGTGGGTTTGAACAGTTGACTTAGCTTTAGCCACCTGACGTTTAACTCACTGTACACCAGGGCTCCTTGATGACAAGAATAGAGTTCTATAAAAGGCAGAATTGGCCCATTGTTGAAAAGTGACTCGTTTCTTGCTCTTTGTTTTTATTTGGTTTCTCTTGTACTGCTTGGTACCACTTACTGTCAAGTCAGTGCTGGCTCATAGTGACCCTATAAGGGCAGAATAGAATGGCCCCACTGGGTTTCCAAGACTAACAGTTTCCCTTCCCCACCCAAACTGTACTCTTTAGGGGTGAAGACTGCCTCATCTTTTTCTCATGAATCTGCTGCCTGGGCTTCTCACTGCCTGCCTTTCCATGTGAACACTTTAACCACTGTGTCACCAGGGTTCGTGTATTTAGCAGGGCTCATTCTTCTGAGGCTGAGCACTTTTCTGTTACAATTTGGTTCCTTTAATTATGATAGTTTCAAAGAAGTTCTTTGTAAACCCATAAGCTAAACTAAGTGCATAATTTTAACCAAAATTATCTTCTGGCTAAGCATCTATTTTGTATATCAAGTATTGCTCTCTTTCAACTTTGTTCTGTATTTTGTGTGTGCAGATGTTTGTATCTTCTGTGGGATCAGAGGGCACACCTGTTGTGGTCAGAAAACTCCAAGTATAGCAGCAGGGATGGATGAACAGGCCCTTTTAGGGCTAAATCCAAATGCTGATTCAGATTTAAGACAAAGGGTAAGTTAAGTTGGTGTAATCTTTTTTTTTTTAAAGCATGTTACAACAGATTTGTGTTAGACTTGAATGCAAAATACATTGGATGATGATAAAGGTTTAATCTGGGTAGAAACTATTAAGAGACAGATCAATTTGAAACATTGATATATATTCTGAATACAGATACAGTGGTATTTTGATTTATTTTGTGTATAATTGGCTGGATTTGTATTAAAATTGCATTTAAGTCAAGGAGGGAACATGTCACATTGCTTCTAATTATTTAAAAATTGTAATGCAGAGGATTGTTCAAAAGAATTTCCATAGGCATTGTTTTCTTTTTCCATTGCTTGACCTGGTCTAAAAATATTTTTTAACTTCTATGTTAGTGATAGTTAACATCCTTTTTACTTAGTCTAGGGAGACATGTAAACAAGCCCATAAGAAGTGCATTGTATCAGCTAGGCCAGGATTATTATGAAGTGCTTGGATATTTGGTTAAATGTAAACGCTTAAATATAATGTAGCCCATGAATGTAATCATGACTACTGCTGAATAATAAAGCAAGAGTCTAAAGAACAAGGGTGTAATTAATTTTTAAAAGATGTGTGGGTGTTTTGAAGATCAGGCTCAGTGGAAGGAAAGAAGCATTTCCTCCTCCTCCTTTCTACACCTCAAAGGAAGGGTGTTATTTCAAAAATGAGCTAAACGGGCTTAACAATCTCACTACACTATAGCAGTTTTTATTCTTTTAAACAAACATTTTAAAACAAGTAAAGAAAAATGATTCCAATTAGTGTCTAATACAGAACCATTGCATGATTCCACTATTAAATAAGTGACTAGCCCTCCAGATCCAGGAAAGAGAAGGTATTGAGATTTAAATATCAGCTGAGCAACTGTAAGATACCTGGAATGCTTCTCAAAAAGCCAATTATCTTTCTTTGTGGGTTTAAGTTGCCACTTAGTCTTTAAACTTTACACTAAGTTGTCTTAGACCTGTAACTTTACTTTAGGTTCATTTTGCATTCTCAAAAACAATGAAAAGCTTTTGGTTTGGTTATTGGGTGACTTTTCCTCTTATTTTTGTCTTCCATTTATGAAACTTTTTTTTATTAAACAAGCAGATAACAAATTGAAAAAAATGCTTTTCATCAACAACAAAAAATGAGTACTATTAGTCACAGGTATATTTTAAGCAAGTTGATTTGATAACCCATTAAACCAACCTGAATAACAATTTGAATGAAGATGGAATCTTAAGGAAAAGTAAATTCTGATAGGGGAATTAGGAATACTGACATTAGTTGGTTGAGTGGTTAGATAAATTACTGACATCTGTAGCTTCTCATTTCTACATGAGCAGTAAAAATAGCTGAACTGATTATTGCCACATAAAGCAATAAAGCAGTAGAAAAAAGGGATAGGATAAAAGAACTAGGTGATGAAAGCTATGCCTGGTTCACCATTGCCACCCACTTAAATCATAATGACCCTGCATAGGATTTCCAAGGCTGTCTTTATTATACCCTGTGCAATCGATTCAGGCTCATTGTGACCAACCTTGTAGGACAGGGTAGAACTGCCCCATCAGGTTTCCATGGCTATACTCTTTACAGAAGCTGACTGTCACATTTCCCAACTGCACACATTTTTGGTTCACAACTGAGTGCTTTAATCGCTGTGCCACGAGGGCGCCTTCTTTGGCTTAAAACCTGCTGTTATGTAAAAACATTGTAAGTCAGTGTTTTTCACTCTTCTATTACAGCAGCCACAGGGCACTCCTCCCCCGACCCGTACTAAAATACCAGGTAGTAATGAAACACACATGATTTGTTCTACCTTATTCCATTTCTTCTTTCCTGAGCTACTAAAGTAAGCCCTTAGAGCAGCGGTTCTCAACATGTGGGTCGTGACCCTTTGGGGGGGGGGTGCAGTTTGAACGACCATTTCACCAGGGGTCTCCCGATTCATAACAGGAGCAAAATGACAGTGATGAAGTAGCAATGAAAATAATGTCATGGTTGGAGGTCACCACACATGAGGAACTGTATGAAAGGGTCACAGCATTAGGAAGTGGAGAACCTCTGCCTTAGAGTTTCATGGCATTCTATTAGAAAACAACTTGGCCTTCTGAGACTATTTGATGCACACTACCATAGTCACTTCTGACTTATAGCGACCCTTTATAGGGTTTCTGAGACTATAAACCTTTACAGGAGTGGGATAGCCTTATCTCCATTTCCTAGAGTATGGTGGGTTTGAACCACTGAAGAAGTGGTTAGAAGTCCAATGCTTACCCAACAGTATCACCAGGGATCCTTAAGCCTATTTTACACATGGTCTCAATTGTTGCTCCCATTCACAGGTTTCTTAGATAAAGATCACCACATAATAGCTAAATATAAGCAATAGAAATTTAGGATGACTATTTTATGAAAGCCTATACCCTTGTTCATACAGACAATGCAAGAAACTTATCACCTACTGTGGCGGGGTTTTTTTCTTTTTTAACCTCAGTGAGGAAAAGTAATTTTTCATTGCCACCCATTGTATGTATATGTGTGTATAAATAAGATCTGTATGTGTGTGTTGTTGCTAGGTGCTGTTGAGTCAATTTCGATTCATAGCAAGTGATGTGACAGGAGGACTGCCCTATCAGGTTTACTTGGTTACAATCTTCAAAGAAGTAAAGTGCTATGTTTTTCTCCTTTGGAGCGCTTGAGTGGATTTAATAAACCACCAGTATTTTGATCATCAGCCAAGCATTTAACAATTTCTATCTCCCAGGGCTTCCTATCTACCTGTTTATCTGAGTACATCTACTGTTCTACCTAGGTAACCTGATGGCATAGTAGGCTACTAAGTGAAAGGTCACAGCTGGAACCCACCAGCTACTCTGAGGGATACCTGTCAACCTGCTTCTGTAAAGATTACAGCTTTAGAAACCTTCAGTTCTGTCAGAATTAGCTTCATTCATGACTGTGGGTTTGTTTTTGTTTTTTCTCTCTCATTGATAAATGAGGCCCTGGAGATATAAGGTTGGCAGTTTGAACTTACCCAGAGGTACCCTGAAAGACCGTTTTGGGTACCTTCAACCCACTATTAATTAAAAAGTTACTCTAATTGTAGGTTCCTCTAATGCAGTGGTTCTCAACCTTCCTAATGCCGTAACCCTTTAATGCAGTTCCTCATGTTGTGGTGACCCTCAACCATAAAATTGTTTGTTGCTACTTCATAACTGTCATTTTGCTACTGTTATGAATCGGGCGACCCCCATGAAAGGGTCCTTCGACACCACCACCCCAAGGGGTTGCGACCCCCAGGTTGAGAACCCTTGCTCTAATGCTTACTATTCGATTCCATTTCAAGGTTTGTATAAGTACATTTCATTGCTGCCAAGTTGGTTCCAAATCATAGTGAACCCTATTTATAGGACAAGGCAGAATTGCTCCACATGGTGTCCCACGCTATACATAGTTTTACTTTGGGGCAGCTGGTGGGTTCAAACTACTGACCTTGGGGTTAGCACGCAAGCATTTGATGACTGCACCACCAGGACTTCTGTATCAGAACATAAGTGCTTTATTTATTTATTAGAATTTATGTGCTTTAAAACCATCTAGCAACACTTCTTTCTGTTGTGTCATTTTCTTAACAGAGACTTTTTTTACCAGTTGATAAGGTTACTCTGCTCTTTGTCCATTGTCGTAGGTGAAAGGTGCTTCTGTGAGTGTTAGCTAGTGAAGCATGCTCTCTTGGGTTTACACCATTTGAAAGGGAGTTTTAGTGTTCTTGTGGGGCTCACGTAGTGTCTTTTAAATGTTCTTTGAGTTTGAGGAAATAAAGGAAGCGTGGAAGGAGCAAGAGCAGGCCTGGATTGTAGGATTGATGGGGTAAGGTTTCCAACAAAATTCTCATCGAACAGATCCTGGTGTCCTCAAAGAATGAGCTATGTTGCTCTGGTACAGATAGGAACTGAAAATACAGGGAATCCAGGGCGGATGAGCCCTACAGGACCAGTGGTGTTAGTGGCGAAACAGGGAGGGTGGAGGGAGAGTGGGTAGGAAGGAGGGAACCAATTACAAGGGACTATATGTGACCTCCTCCCTGGGGGATGGACAACAGAAAAGTGGGTGAGGGGAGACGTTGGACAGGGCAAGATATGACAAAATAACAATTTATAAATTATCAAGGGCTCATGAGGGAGCGGGGAGGGAGGGGAAAAATGAGGACCTAATGTCGGGGGTTTAAGTGGAGAGAAAATGTTTTGAGAATGAAGTACAAATGCGCTTTACACAATTGATATGTATATAGATTGTGATAAGAGTTGTATGAGCCCCTAATAAAATGTTTAAAAAAAAAAAAAGAATGAGCTATGTTGCTAAGACGAGGGGAAATGCTTCTGCACATCTTTACTGGCCTTTCTCTCATCAGTGCAGCTTTCAATTTTCTGAAATAAACCCCATTGATGGTCCTGTGTTCTTCCAGAAAATCTATCAAGATGATTCCTTTACAAATATGCGTGGTGCAATTGATGTGTGGATTGTTATAAGAGATGTAAGCGCCCCCAATAAAATGATCTTTAAAAAAAAATTATTCCTTTAGCGTACCACCCCTACCTACCCCGACCCCCTCCCCCAAAGGAAAAAGAATAAAACCGTTACTGTGTTGCCTTCTGAGCTGACCTCTCTGCCTTTCCCTCGAATTTAACTGACCCAGCAAGAACCCCTTGCAAAGCAGTGTTTTCATTGGAACTTGTTTTGCACAGTGGTGGGAGAAAGACTGTGCTTTCTACTTTCTACTCCCATAAACAGTCTCGGAAACCCATGGGAAGTCGCTGTGAGTTAGCAGTGACTCTGGCAGTGAGTTTTTGGAATGAGGGTAAGACAAGTGTATTCCTGAGAGATGTTGTCTGCAGCCATCCACTGATTGCTGGGACATGTTTAAACTTTTTTTTTTTTAACCAACATGTATGAACTGGAAACCTAGTGTCAGTACTTTTGGACTTGTATGTAACTGATGGAAATGGTTTTTTCTTTAATCTTTTCTAGGAATGATCTCTTAAGTTACACAAACTAGGAAGACTAAATCTCGAAGTTTTAGTTATTTCAGAATATGTTGCTTGGTGTTCAGAGGGTGTTACTGCCAACTATGCTAAGTAAACTTTCGTTTTACCATCTTACAGGCCATAGCGTATTTCGAACAGTTAAAAGTTTGCCCAGATGCCTGGCAAGTGTGTGCAGAAGCTTTAGCCCAGAGGACATATAGGTAATTAAAGCATAATTTGTATGACTCTTAAAATACTTTGAAGAGAATTGTAAATTTGTTTGTGTTTGGAAAAAGTCTCATTAAAGCATTTTTATAAATTTTGCCTTTTAGAAAGGCATTGATAATAGTGTAGAAATAGGAAAATGTATCAGAAGTTAATATGTTGGCCATTCTAGAATTGACTTTTCAATGAAACCATCCTTTTACCTTATGTTGTATAGCAGATAGTAGATCCCAGCTTAATATTGAACAGTAGAAAGTTTCTTATTGTGGCAGGGATGGCTGGTTGATTATCCAAAATGTTGGCATAAAAGTTAATCATAATTGATAAATATCTTAGTTTTTCATTTTTATGTATATAAACATTCATTGCCTAGATTAGACTAGTGAACCAAGGTTTATGCCCATTGACTTCTTTCCTTGATCACACCCATAATCCAATCCACAATTTCCATTTTGAAACTCTATACTGGAGTGAACAAGAGTAAGTGCAGATTTTTACATATTTTGCTTACTCACCCTCACCTCACCAATCTTCTGTTTATGTGGCCAACACAATATGTGGAAATTTCTTTCCTTTGGAATGTGACTTTCTAAAAAGTCTTTATAAGTATTTAACTTCATTTTTGTAATAGTAACTCAGCAGACTCATTTAGTCAGTTTGTATAATAATTATAGTTACTGTCGTACAAGAGAAGGACACCTAGTACAGTGAGGCGAGGAAAGCACAGTCACGGGTGTCCAGGGGCCAGCATTTGGAGGGAGCAGCAGTGCCTGGGTATCAAGGAGGGCCTGCTGCCGGAGCTCTGTACCATCCATCATCTCATTTACTGTGTTTCAGAAGAGAAACTGAAGGCTTCGTTTTCATGAAAGTTGATTTCAGGAGCAACTATTGTTTGCTTTAGAGTAAATGGAAGCTGACATTTAATTAAAGGCTTCATTAGTTCATTTTTTGAGTGGAAAAATACAAGCTTTGTATAATTTAGCTAAAGATTTTTATCATGTCATCCATGATAACAATGGAAGCTATGTTTCAAATGAGATGCTAATTAAAACCTAACTTTAAAAAGTTGAAGAGAGTATATCTCATCTTCTCACGCTTGAGGGTATTTTGTTTGCTTAATTTATATAGTGTGAATTAAGAGAAGGTCTGAATTCTCATGGATCAGCTAACATAACATACACGTAGAAAATTGTTTCATGTCAAAACTTGGCCCAAGCCAGCTGTTTACATGAGCAAAATGTTGGTAACTAAGGGGACTTGGCCAGTTAATAGTTTGCTAACAGCAACCCTATTTTACCTCTAGAGAAGCAATTGGAAGTGATTATATATTTGTGACTTGGTTTCCTATAGGGACTTTCAGGCTGAACTGCCAGCCCAAGTGGCCTGCTCTTTTTGGATTTGGCGACTGTAGAATTGACTAGGGCTGAATTTTGTTAGACTTAGATGGCCATCTCTCATTAAAGCTCATTTTCTGACTGTGTACTATTTTTCCTTCTTATACCTAGCCTTTCTACTTTAAATTATTGGCCATCAGGAAGCAAAGTATTGTTAAATTTAAAAGGAATGCCTTCTGTTTGTAAAATATTATCTATAAGATGTATCTTAACATTTTGGGTTATTTAATGGGAATAATAAATACCTGGAGTTCTCATCACATTCTGAAAAAATAGATATGAATATAATGAAGCTAATAAGTAGAAAGCAAGTCAAAGATCTAGTTTGATAATTTCTCAGTTATTGATATTTTTTATCAATATTTTGCTTTTGCTTTCTTTACTTTCAATTCATATTCTGCTTATTTAACTTTCCTTTTTCTCTTTTTCAGCGATGATCACATAAAGTTTTTCTGCTTTCAAGTACTAGAACATCAAGTAAAATACAAGTAAGGCTTTCTCACAGTTTTGACTCTGAGATATTCGTAGAGGCTTAGTTTCTTGATCTTTGGGAGATCAAAAGGCAGGTTATAAACTGATGATCTACAAATCGCATCCAGTTTATAAATCTATCCCCAAGTGTATAAGAAATTCTGAAGTAAAGATGGAGCAACACCAGCCTATTTTCCTAAATGACCATTGAGTGGTCACATGAGCACTGGTCCCTTAATTACGTGAAACAAAGATTTGCTGCTTAGAGGATCCTTGGTATACCTACTGATGTAGTCTGTGAACAATAGACTTTAGTATACTGTGATTTCTGCTTGAAAAATTGTGTAGTTACTATTTTGCTTTAGCATGGATTGACCCACGTACCTGTGATCTCTATTGATATCAAGCATGCCACATCTACTTGTATCTCTATTTTAATGCAGGGATGGAAGAAGCATTACCAGTTTTTCTAAGGAAACTAATTATTAAATTGGGTGAAACACTTAATTTTCCCTTTCATGTGTACTAGACTATTATTTTTTAAAGCACAGACACCAAATATAGCCTTCCTAATTTTATTTTCTTTTTGAACAGATATGTAGAACTAAATACTGTTCAACAACAACTAATTAGAGAGACACTCATATCTTGGCTTCAGGCTCAGGTAAATAATAACTAAGTTGAGTACCTCAAATTGCCAAATGTTTGAACTTCTGTTTTTGAAAGGCTTGCAGCTTTACCTCTAATATTTTGCTCATCTATCTTATATTTGATTCTGTAGCTTTTACAAAAAGTGTTTTTGAAAATTCTGCTTTTGAAGACTTAGCGGTAACTTAAAAGTATGTCAATAACAAACTCGTTTCTTCTGTGATACATTGTGGGAAATTTGGTTTAATTGTAAATTTTTTAAAAATAGTGGGTTTTTTTTTTTTCAATAGTTGTTTTTCTGTTCGGCTCTTTAAGGTGAGTTTTGCTAATCTTTAACATATAGAACAAGTTTGTAGCTAGAATTATTCTTTTCCTTGAACAATAAGCAAATAGAAGAAAAATAAGTGAGAAATTGCTTTTACCTTAGAATATATGATAGGAAGTATTAGAACTCTGCTCATTAAGCGTTTCTTTTAAAGGAAGAATTGCAACTGAAGGCTGAAGGTTAGAGCAAAAATTATAAAGTTCCTTGATTAAAAGCTAGAAAACCGGAGGACCTGATTTTTGGCTAAAATAGTCTGGAACAAAACTAAAAAAAGACCAACAAGAGAAGATAAATTGGATAACAGGAATCTCCTCTAAAAATCAAATACTTAAACTCTTGAAATGATTTTACCAATAGACTAAAAAGAGAACACACAGACTTGGTGTATTTGCTAAAGTATGTAGAAAGCGTCAAGTTAATAACGGAAAGTATAAGAGAATTAAAAGTTGGTCAAAGGACCTGGATCAACGCCTCACCAAAGAGTTTTAGTTAGCCAACAAATAAGAGAATTAAGTCTAAAAGCATTGCAACAACAAGCCCAGTCCATACATGCATAAGCTTATTCTAAACAAAATATGTTTAAACATGTTTAAACGCATTTCTGCAGACAAGTTCTCTTGGTAATGTACTTCCTGGGGATTTGATTCAAGTCCTGGGAAGATGCCAAAACTACCATTTTGATGTGATTGATGTAAGTTGAAAAACTGCATCAGGGAAGGGTTAGAGAGATGGGAACACCACCACTACCAAAA